GTGGCGTTAAATAATTCATAGGTCCCAAATCCTCATGTAATCTCTTTCATAGGGGTAACTGGTGTAGTAGCATTCTGATAATACCCTTTTCTCATAGCTTGTCCACTGGAACCATAACCTGGTTCCAGTAGGCACTCATCAATATGCCGTGGCCCCTCAACACCTAATGTGGATCTTGTTAATATAAGCAACGTCCGAGCGGACATTGCTTCATTTATATATTTCTTTCTCATATACTGAAGTAGGCTTTGGTATATGTAGCCTGGGGGCCTTAGTGGTTGGGATTTAAACTCCTGATGTACTGCTCTGAAGACAATTAGTGTTACCACTGTACAGCACAAGTTTTTGTCCCATGCTTATTGGGAATTCCTCATTCATGGCAAACGCAGTCCCTATCACAACTGGGATTTGGTGGATACCCATTCCTTTTGACAAAGGGTAGAAACACGCCAATCCATTCAGTGTGGGGCATATATATATGTAAATAGACCCACACGCAGAGCACTGTTAAAAGTTAGGTTCATTTAACAGACTATCAAAAAACCAAGGAAGTTGCTCTGCATGAATCAGAGACAAGGTGTTACAGGTAGTGCTGGGTATGCGCACGATCAACAAAATGAATTCAGTTCAATTCAAGTCAGTTTTACTAGTATAGCTCCAAATCACATCAACAGTTGCTTTAAGATCACAGGAATCTAAATGCTGAGAAGTCTGCACAGAAAAAGGTTAAAATCAAAACAGAGCCTGACGGTGATGAGAACAGGATAGATGTCAGACACGTTTCCTGGCTGATGCAATAATCTGACGAGGACGGAGAGTCTTCTTCCTCATTAAGAAACCAGCATAATGACCCGATTAGGAACTGGTAGGTTAATCAGCAGATCTTGTGACAGGTGAGTCATGAGCAGAGAGGTGGAGATGCCAGGAGGAGGCCTGAACCCAAATCATTTTAAAGAGAATTATTTATTTATTTTATAAATGTTTAATTACAGGATTGCAGCATTCTCTGAACTAGGTAAATAGGTGAAGGGATTTTTTCTGTCTTGTCAGCTTGTCCGGGAAAGTTCAAGTGCAGCAACACCCGGTGCATCAAGAAGACTCTGCAGTGTAACGGCAGGGATGACTGTGGAGACAACAGTGATGAGCTCAACTGCAGTGAGTCCAAACCGTCAAAGATCTCTTTGTGTAAAAAGAAGGTTTAGCAAAAAATGTGGATTAAATCTCAACTTGAATTGGTCTCAGAAGAGCTGAAAGCAACATAAAGCCTGTTTAAAAGAAGATAAATATTCTGATAGAATCCTTACCCCCAACTTTATCTGTAGAACAGTTTTTCTTTTCTTTATACAAAAGTCACAGACATACAGTACAAAAAACCAACTGATAGTTCACTTCACAAGCAACAACTGCATGTCAACACCCCGCCCACCTCCCTACCCCGCCAATTACCTACCTACCTCCCCATGTCAGGTTCAGGGCGCGAACAGGACCCAAATGCAGGACTTTCTGGTTAGTGACAGTTAGTTTGTTTACTCACTATTCATTCTAAATAATGTAACAGTTTCCAAAGACGTGACTTCTTCATGGTACTCCCAACTCCCGCA